TCTACTTTTCATTTGATTAGCCTTTTTGACAATTTTAATTTTTGTAAATTTATCAAAGTGATTGGTCAATTAAGACATGAATTATGTCAGCTTAAAAATATGGTCTAAGTTTTTTAATTGATGTGACTATTGTATATGCCACTTTTTCTATCCTAGCGTAGTTTATCTCTAACCTTATCAACATTTTGCTTATAAAATACATCGACATCTATCTTTTTTTTTCTTGTCTAACAAGTACTGAGCTAATAGTCTAGTTGGTTGTAGCCAAATATAAATATAATATCTCGTTAGATTTTGGCTCAAAGACAACAAGAAGGAAGAAAGAAATTTTTTGAGCTCTTTAAATGTTTTTTGACACTAGGGTGTTCATATGAAGTTTGAGATGTTCTTAAAGATTTTAAAAAATGGTAAAAAAATATTTTACCGATTTGGACATAAATTTATTGAAAGTAACTATCTTCCCCTTAATCTTTGTACCTCATTCATTGAAGTTGATGCTTTCATGTCTAGGATAGCATAACCTTTTCTAGGTTTGCCTCATGTCTCTCATATTAATCATATAACCAAGAAGCTTACCTGATGTGACTCCAAAGGCACTTGCTCTGGTTGAGTCTCGTGTTGTATTTTTTCAAGGTGTTGAAAGTTTCCTCTAAGTCTTTTAGGTGCTCAGCTAGGTTCTTATTTTTACTATCATGTCATGTACATATACCTCTATATTTTTATCGATTTAATTTTTTAAAACCTTATTAACCAATCTCTAGTAGGTCACTCATGCATTCTTTAGGCCAAAAGGCATGACTTTGTAACAATACAGACTTTTTTTTGTTATAAAGGCCCTTTTTTCTCTTTTTTTTTTTTTGACATTTTGATTTGATGATATCCTAAATAAGCATCCATAAAGTTGAGCAAGCTATGCTCGGTGCTATCATTAACCTATCAATCTATGCTAGAAAAATGGAACCTATCTTTTAGATAGGCTTTATTAAGGTTAGTAAAGTTAACGCACATTTTATATTTTTCGTTGTTTTTTTTATCATAACTACATTGGCTATCCAATCGAGATAACATACTTCTTTGATGAAATTTATTTGTAGCAACTTGTCGACCTCTCCTTTAACGACCTTTTGCCTTTTTGGGACAAAGGTCTTTTTCTTTTGTTAAACTAATTTTATGTTTGGGTTAGTGTGTAACTTATAGACCATTATCTCGAGATTGATCCCTGACATATTTGATAAAGTCTATGCAAACAAGTCGGTATCATTTTTTAGTAACTAAATTAGTTGTTTTTTATGGTCAAGCTTGACCCCTATTTGCATATATTTTTTTAGGTTATTTTTTTAAAACAGTATAAAGATAAGGTTTTTTATCGATTCAAATTGGTTTTCATTAATCTCAGGTCTTTGATCAATTATTTTTTTCTACTCAATTAAGTCAAGACTGTTTCTTACGATAAGGGTAAATCCCAATGTGGCAGTTAGTTTGTTGTTAATAAGATGGTGTGTAATATAAATGTAGACCATAACAAAATGTATGTTTTCATTTCATTTTTTTCTTTGGCAGACTTAATAGCTTGGTCCCATTGACATGTGTATGTGACAGCTTAAGAGCTCAACCTCTGAAAGTTAATTCAAAAATTGTAAAAATCTGTGGCTTGTACAAGTATGGAGCTTATAAGTTCAGAGTGACTTAAAAGCACAATGACTTAAAAGCACATCTTCTTTCAAGTCAGTTTTTACTGTCGTTACTGCTTACCTTTACTTTTTTCTTGTTTCTTTTCTTCTTTTTTTACTTCAACCCCTATGGCTTCTTTTTTCTTTCCTAATTCCATGGTCCTACCATAACCGTTAGTCTGTTTCATATTCTTTTCTTTCATTGTTGTGACATAATATTGCTATGCTGTAAATTGATTTCTCCTAACTTTTCCAACCCCATAAAGTATTGAAAACTTTACTTTAATAGGGAGTAGAGTCTATAAACTGCATAATAGACTAACTTGGTTGGCCTAGTATCATATTATAAGCTAATGAAACATTTACAACGATGAACTTTATGACTAAGGTGACCATCTTCGATTTTGTGCCTAGCAGTTTGATGGTCCTTTTGATTGGTACCTATTCACTCCCAAATCCAATCAATGTAGTGGTGATCAGTTAAAGTTTATCTTTTTTAATTTCCATCTTCTTCATGGTAGCATTAGTATAGTACGTCGATCAAATTCACATTATCAAATAGAATCTTTCTGACTACATAAATATACATTACTGTTGTAATTACTATAGCATCATCGTAAAGATCTTGGATTCCTTCTAAATTTTTTGTGCTAAAAGAGATCAGTTCATCTTTCCAATTTTTTTTCTTTTAGCTAATAAGCTAATTGCCATAACCAATCCTTGATCAAAATTTTTTTTTTTTTTTGCCAAGGTAAAGCTCCCCTTAATAATTACATTAATTATGCCTGCAATAGGTCAGTTATCTACAATTTGGCCCTTGTTTTCTTTATGTTTGTCCCTCTGATTCTAAATGCCTATATTTTTTTCTTATTGATGCTTTGGGTTCTTTTCTATCCCTTTTTTTTATCTTTTTTTTGTACTTTATCTTGCTCGAACCTTGTCTTGCTTAATACACAAATCTGTCAAGCCGACATTTTCTAATTAGATTTTTTATTTCATTTTTCAAGTTAACAAAGCCTTTTGCATTATGGCCGATGTCTCTGTGAAAAACACATCTCTTAATTAAGTTTCTTCTTATGTTCTACCTTAGTAGTTTTGGTCATATGAGCTTTGAAGTCTTTTTCTATTAGCATTAGAATCCTCTTTTAAAAGGTATTTAGTATAGTATAGTTTTTTTCTCTATTCAGCTCCTAACCCTATATTGTCTCCCTTTTGCGAAAAAATCATAAAATTTTTTACCTTTTCTGTTATTGAGAAAGAAGGATAAGTCTTTTCTTACCTCGATTGTTTTTCATAATAGCTTCAATATTTATATATTTTTTAGCAACAAATAAAACATTAGCTAGCACCTTTGGTGGCTCTAAAGACAAAGTAAGCTTCAGGTCATACTATCTATCACTAAGTCCACTGATCAGGGTGACTACAATAGTTGTTTGCTCTAGGTCTTTTACTTGTAGAGCTTCTGCATTAAAACGCGTGATGTAGTCTTTTAAAAACTCATTCTGCCTTAATGAACTGACATTAGGCTTAATGTAGCTTTTTTAATTTTTCTGCTATTAACAAAATAAAAGAGAAAAGAATGGCTGAGCTCTTTAAATGTGGTGATTGACCTCGATTTAAGGCTATAATACTAGGACTAGGCTATCCTTTTGAGGATTGTAGCCAATCTTTTGCTCATCAAGACTTCATCTACACCTTACATCATAATGTTAGTTTTATATTGTTTCAAATAATCAAAGAAATCAGAGGTATCATCATAGGTCTCCAAAATCGGCATTTTAAACCCCTTAAGGAGCGTGGTTCTGTCAATCTCCTTAGTGAAGGGTGAGGTTTCCAAGAACTTTAGTTTATCTTTAAAAGCGATAGCTTTCCCTTTCAATTCTTTCTCCATGGCTTGCATTCTAGCCTCAAGGTCTCTATTTGGTTAGGGCTCCAAGCCGATCTATTTAGATTTTTAGGGTAATAGCTTAAGTAGAGTTGTGACTGGGGGAATGGTAATATGTGGCTGGAATGACATGCCCATTTTCCCTTGAGGCTAAAGAGGCTTCAACTTTCTTATAGCTGGATTGTCTTTCTACTAGTTGTCCACTTAAAGTGATTGGGTCAAGTATTATCGAGGCTTGGCGTGGTGTTATGCTTTAGAGCATCTGTTTTAGGGTTTGAATTTATTCAATTAAGGCTTTGAAATGTTATATGGTTGGCCCCACTTGTGCAAACGCAAGTCGGTTTGTATGCTTACTATTATGGGTTTCAATCCTAATTGGGATGACTATCTCTCATTCCTCGTTGGCTCTCTTTCTAGGTGGCATGATGTTTGGTTGGGTTAAATAATGGTTGCCCCTATCTAACGTGCCAAATGTTGGTGTCAAGCTCTAAGTTGAAAGTCAAAATCCTAAAATCATGAGAAAAAGAAGAAAGTGATTAGGGTAGAGTAGGAAATGTTCCTTGCATTTGCACTCTGATATTCAAGTCAAATGTAGGGACTAGAGAGATTGGAATGCAAGAAAAATAGAAAGGTAAGAAAAAGCGAGATTAGATTGACAGTACCTAGATGGCTTTATTTATAGGTGGAAGGTGAGGGATTTGTAGAGTAGAATAGTAACATAGCCGAACTACGTGATATTGTACATGTTAAGCTGACCTGACATGTCAAAAATAATCTTGACTATTTATTGACAATCTCTAATGAAAGAAATGATCATTTTGTCTTTTGAACTCAAAAATACCCCTAACAATTACATAGCAGTCATTTTAAATTTAAGTCGTGCAAAAAAGAGTATTATATTCAAGCTAACCTGTCCTAAATCCACGGCAGGATTTAAGCTTTGCCTACAGTGATACAGAAGATCTGTCTGCAAAGTTGTTTCCCTTGTTACAAGATTAATATCCACATGCAATGCAATAGCTTCAAAATTAGTAACAGTCAAGTCAGTCCAAGATGACAATATGATTTGTTCTGTACCATGTTCAACAGCAGAGAGTTGAGTGAACTTGAAAGAAAAATGAAGCGATAGTTAAACTTGACTCAGTCACTGGCACACTGTAGTTTATGAAATTGGGGATAAGTTCACAGCCTGCAATGAAGGTGCTGTAGATAAAGAAGAGCGAAACTGCTATGATAAAATAATATAAAATTTGTCTAGAACATTGAAAGTATATTATCTTTTCACTTTTTCTCTTGCTACGCTAAAAGTGAATGTATGAACATCAGCTTTGCAAAGATCTCAAAATGTGAAAGGCACAATGTTAAAAGGGTGACTTCTCCAAGTCATCATCCAGTGACCAAAGCGGAAAAATAATGAAATCAGAATATTTCTAAAATTCAGATAGTTACCTGAAGAATAATGTCTATCACATTCTTTATATATCATTTGTTCCAACAAAATTTCCTTAAAATGTTTTGTAATAACAAATACAGTTCTTTTAGAACAAATTAATTTTAGCCGTACTTTACATGCTTCAAATATATAAACTAAAACATCTAAGATTTACAAATTGTATTATAAACTGGAATAAACAACTAAGATTTACAAATTGTGTTCATGAGTACAATGACTTTTATATACAGAGACTGGAGCTCTGATCTATCTTTAGATTGGAAAGCCATAGTTTTGATACCCTCCTTGAGCAGCTAAATGGCTTGCGGGGGGCAACTGTTGCAGTGCGGGTACCTGTTGAACAGGACCAACTGGCAGAGAAACCCAAGTTTGCTCAACAGGTGCATCCGTCATGCTGCTATCAACTGTGGTAATGTCATGGATGCTCGATCTTTTTCTCTCCTTCTTAACAGAACTCTGCCGAAGAAAGTACTTCTGAGCATGACTAGCCACCTGAGTAGGTGTTCGAGTCACCACCACATTTCTTGATATACTCCGCCAGTCACCCTTACCAAATTTGTGCAGCCCAATTAAAAATAACCTATTTGACATATCAATGAAAGTAAGCTCAAAAAGGCAGTTCAATAAATACAGCGAGAACAACCAGTAGCATCAAACTGGTATCTAATATCCACCAAAACAATGCTATAAACAAAATCAACAAATTTTATAAATATCAACTTTACACAATATCAAATAACTAAACCCTTTCACAATATAATTTAATTTGCAGCTGTTTGCTTCATTCACACAACTGTGTAGCCATCATGTTTTACTTTTTAGCAGCTATAAACAAAATCAACAAATTTTATAAATATCAATTTTACACACTCTGAAAATGATATCAAATAACTAAACCCTTTCACAATATAATTTAATTTGCAGCCGTTTGCTTCATTCACAAAACTGTGTAGCCATCAGGTTTCACTTTTAATTTACAGCTGTTTGCTTCATTCACACAACTGTGTAGCCATCATGTTTTACTTTTTAGTAGCCATACTAAACAAGATGTTTCACATTTTAATAGTTCTTAAACAATTTTTTTTTTTTTTTGCTGCCCATACCCACTCGGCAGCCAAATAAAAAATATAACATTTACATTAATAGTATTTGATTTGTATTTTCTTTTATGATTTAAAAAGCTCAGAAATGATTGAAATTAATTAAAATCCTCAGCTATTAAAGCTTCCAAAATCAATCATAGAAAAAAAAACATTTTTCAGGAACAAAAAATTTTTTGAGGAAAAAAAGAAAAAAAAAAAACATTTTTGAGGAAAAAATAAACATACTTATGTTCTTCTTCTGTCCAAGGAGTTCCCTTCTTCCTTTCATTGTCTCCCTGCAATTTTGATTTTGAATTAAAAGAGATCTGATTATCCGAGTCCCAACTTGAAGGCAGTACGGACAAATCATCACTATATCTGGGAATCTCAACTCGACCGGCGTCAATTTCGTAAACATCAAACAAAAGCATATCATAATGTTGCTTAACTTCAGCGGATGACTTTCCAGGAACCCTATCTGCGATCTTCTCCCACCGATCAGAAGTTCCCTCCGGAAACTCAACCAAGGCCTGCTCAAAGAGCTTGTCCTCGAGACGGGTCCACTGAGTCGTCAAAACCCTCGTGGACGACTGAATCAAGAACGAGTTACTGTTGTTGTTATCCTGGTACATACCGCTGCTGCCTTTTGCAGGTCCAACGAAATTTTTTTGCAGGTTCAATGAAATTTCTTTGTATTTTCAGGGAAAGATTTTAAATTTTAACAAATGACCGTCTATGAATAAAAAAAATTGAAAGAGATACAGAATTTGGCTTTGGTTAAGAGGGTTTAGGATTTTGTATTGTTTAGGGACTTTTATTTGGAGTATTTGTACCAACCCAGACTTCTCATTCAACACGTTTTCACTATTATTGGATAATGATTCATTTTATTTATTTAGGCTTTTTTTTTTTCTAATGATAAACAACATCAACAATCCCGCTGTATTACACTTGTTGCCGTTCCTCTAGATACCACATATTAAATATTATTTTTAGTTCTTTTTTGACCAATATTTTTAGTTTAATTTTATTTATAAAATTAAAATACAAATCAAAACATATGTTTGGGACAGATAAATTGTTTGTCACAATTTACATATATAAATAATTTTACAAATTAAATAAATTTCATTTATTATTAAATATTTTAAATTTTAAATTTTTTTGATAAAATAAATTACGGTCTAATAATAAATAAAATTACAAATATTAAAATTTTAACTCTACTTTATATGTATTAGTAATAACTTTTTTATGTGTTAAATTTGTTTTAACGTAATGAAGAGTCATGTTGCCACATCCCATCTCACACTATGTAGTCGATTCAAGAAAAAAAAAAAGAATGGATTGGATTGGATTTTTTAGTAATGTTAGTATTTGATTTGTTTGTATTAATGAAAGGAAAGCTAGTATCCATGTGCTTTATAATTTATTGAAGCATTTTCTTTTTGTCATTGGTTATGTAAAAAAAAAAATTTCTCTTTAATAAATTTCCTCTTCTGTCCTTTTTCTCTTTAATTTTAAATTGCTTTTAGATTCTACCGTACTGATGCTTTTACTAAGGATATAGGAGGCTTTTTCTTAAGTATATAAAAGAATTAGTACTAAATTGTTTATGCTTCGCTTATGCTACTTTTATATGATAAAAATTATCTTAGGGTAGATATTTAATTAAAAAATATATAAAAATGTTATTATAATTGGGAACAAAATTCTATGAAAAATTTGTAAGAAATGGATACAAAATAGTGTGATATCAATAAATTCATTTAATTTGAATTTTTAATGCATAAACTATGAAAATAAGTGGTGTATCCATAAATAATTTATATTTATTATTGAGTAATTATAATATTATAATAAAAAGAATTGTAGGTAATATACTTGTAAAAATAAAAACTTAATTTCTAATGATTCAAAACCAACAACTTATATTTTTACAAAGAAGCGAAATATAAAAAAAAAAATCAATATGAATTTGGCTCATAAGTATTTATACTACTTAAAATTAAACACTAAATTCATTCATCCACAATGATTAAATTTATGAAAAATTAGATTTATATAATTTAAAATAAAAAAATTATTTAACGAACAATCTAAATTTGATTTATAGATATTTATACTATTCAATAAAAATAAATTTAGACTCAAAATATCAAATTTAAATAACACTAAACATTAAGTACATTAATTTACAATTAATTTAATTTATAAATATTATAAATTCATAAATAATTAAATTTATGAAAACTAAAATTCTTGTAACTTAAAATAAAAAATTAATAATATAAAAAATTATTTATAAATGAAAAACTATTCAAATGTGGCAGTAAATGAACCCTTTCATATATAATGATGCCAAGTGATATAACGGATGTATAGATTTTGTAGTCAAATTTATTTCTTAACCAGTAGCTATCGGGTTAATCAATTTTGATGGAGAAAACGAGTATAATTATTAATAAATAATATTGATATTTTTTTAAAATAATACATAATAATGATGTTAAATTAAATAATAACTTAAATAATTAAAAAATCTTAATTTAAGAAGTCATATTTAGCCCTGTTTAAATAATCCGAATATGACAAAAGCCCAACCCTTGAAACTTTTCTTCCACGTACTGATATGATGCATAGCCAACAATGAAAACTCAGTAGCCCAAACTCCTCACCCAATTAATTAGTCAAAGTGTCACAACGGTCCATCTAAAAAAATATCAAAATGATAAATAACCATGTGTTACTTAACAGCAGGAAAATACCCACACTTTCCCGTGCGTAAAATTTTTTTTATTTTGTCATTTTAATTTATTTATATTTTTACAAAATTGATTAAATTTAAAAAATAAAAAAAAATGAAAGATAAAAAAGCAATCATTGGATATTTTAAGTGGTCTCATTTGTTTCATAAATTTATTCAATAAAAAAATAAATACAAAAAATTAAAAAATATATATAATTAATGATAGGTAATCTGCAATCACATATAATCGTAGTAAATAATATAATAATAAGAATAAAAATATCATCCCACAAAAATTATATATATGAGATCACAAGTATTAAAATTGTATATCTCAAACTTATATTTAGATAAATCAAAATAAAAATAATATAAATTAATCAAATAAAAACTTAAAACATGCAAACTTATCATTAACCAATATCAAATAACTAAAAACAAGAAAAAAAAAATCAAATAATGCAAATAAACCAAAACTGAAATTAACTAATCAACAAACCATGCAAAATAAATCAAACTTATATAACCTTATTAACATGAACTAATTGCAATTAAATTAATATTAAACAAAAGAATAAAAATAAAAACCAATAAAGCAATCAAAAATCAAAACTGATTGTAACCCTAAACAACTATCAAGCAGATCATGTAATTTCAATAAAACCAACTTAAACTGAAACCTAATATATTTTAAAACTATGCAATTAACTTAAATTAATTTTTAAATATGCAATTAAATTAAAATAAATTAAAATAGAGTTAAACCAATACTACTAAACCCTAAAATAATAAAACTCTAATCTCATTTAATTTCTTAAAACCCTAATATAAAAATCCTAGACCAAATTAAATAAACCTTAAAAATCATATGAAAAAGTAATAACAAAAACTTATTTAAATTAATCACCACTTAAACCAAAAGAAACACGCAAGACTTAAACAAATAAATCATGCAAACTAAAAAAAATAAGCTTAAACTAAAATTAAAACCAATCTTTAGCAATATAACTGAAATCTTTAACCAATGATTAAACATGCAATTGAATGAATTAAACCAAAATAGAACAAGAACTAAATAAATCTAAACAAAATAAACAAGAAACCAAAATCAAATGTAAATGTTGAACCTTGAAACCAATAACACTAAACTAAATTGAAACAAAACCAAAATTTGATTAATTAAAAACTTAAAAAGAATGTGCTTAAACTAATCTTGAAAATCAAAAAATTAAAAGAACAATAAATCTTTAAAACAAAAACTTGAAAACTAAAGAAAGTTTATGAAAACTTAGAAACAAGAACCTTAAAAATCACTAATAAGTTAGTCCGTCACTCCAACCTCTTATAGCTGTTATTCTAAGACTTAATCATGTATTTATAAGCACAAGTATACCTTAGGTAGGTTCAGCCATAAAAGGAAGTCAAGAGAACTTTGCATAGTTTCAGTTGGACTTGAACTCTTCAATTCAAGATTGCCTCTTGTAGTTGAATCCAAGTAGAACTCTTCAAAAAGAAAGCTTATAAACTATTCTTGACTTTTAGATTATATCCATCATCCAGCAACTCACATCATGCATAAAAAAAAGTCATAGTCAAATCTTGCTTACCAAAAATATACATTCAGTCAACATGAATCAATTTTCTTGAATATTACTTCAAATTCTTCAATCTTATATCCTTTTTGTACCTCACGTCTCATTTTCAATTCTTGGAAAAAAATCAAACTTTAAAACCATGTAGAACACTTCATTAATGTTGCCCATAAAGAATTAAATTTAAATGCTTCATGCAATCCTGTTCCAAATAGGAATAAGAATCCCAAATCCTAATCTATAGAGGAAATCCAAATCCAAGTAAAAAAAGTGATTAGAATTACCATATCATCATGCCACATCATCTTTTTAACCAATAAGAAAACTTTTTATGTCATGTCATCCCTCAATAATTTCACGCATATGCACTTACATAAACTACTACATACTTATGATCACTCGAAATTATAATTCTACCCTTCATTAATGCAAAAATTATCAACTCGAATCTTGTATGAATTTTTTTCATTTTTCTTTAAAATTGCATCATTCCTATTCCATTGAACTCTATAAAACCAATTTTGAACTTTTTTTTCGTTATTTAACTTCAAGATTTCAAAAAAAATCAAGATTCATCAAGAATATCACAAGATTCCTTATTATGCATAAAAAATCAACAAGATTGATCAAGAATTATAAAAGATCTTCAAGATTTATTTTTTTTTTCAGGAAAACCTACAAAATAAAAAATTCAACCATTTAGGAGTAAAAAGAATATTATTTTGCCAAGAACCAAACAAAAACCACTCATTTAAACACTAAAAACAAGCCTAAATAACTCTATTTAATAGAATTATCAATTTAAAATGAAAAAAAAAAAGTTTACAGAAAGTGTCACATTGACATCCCATATTGAGCTTAAAATATTAATTTACTAAATTAAGATAAAAAAACTTTCTTATTATAATACATATATATGTATAAAATTAAATAAATAACAAAATATATTTTTTATATATATCTCAAAATAACTCAAAACAAACACCTTAAATATGCCTCTGACCTGAGCTTGTTTCTCTTTATAGAAACTCAACTCGTCTCAAGATATACTATTTGAAAATAAAATGACAAAATACCCACTTGTCTCATCTCAAGGTTAAATATTATAAAAATATATAAATATTTAAAAAGAAAAAAGAAAAAAAAAGTAAATAGAAAAATGATAAAGAAAGAAAAAAAAAGATTAAAAGAAAGAAAATAACTTGACACATCACATATCTTCTATATCGGTGAGACAAAAAAGAATTTAAAATCTAAAAAAATTATTAAACATAAAAGGATAAAATAATAAAAAAAGAAGAAAACATGCGGCATACCTTAAGTATCAAATAGATCTCATTAAAATTAAATTTAAAATCTTAAAAAAAAGTAAAAGAAAAAAAAAGTTTGGTGTAAATTGTTGGGCTAAAAACCTCCAATTCAATCACACCAATGGAAGTAAAATCAAACAATAAATCAAACACGCAAGAGACA